ATGAATGAATCACTCCGGGAAATCCTAGCACTTTTCCCAAAACTCAGACTATTTATCAGGACGTGCCCTGATAGAAAGCACTACGTGCCAGGCCATGTCTATTAATATGAAGCCTCAGGACAATCTCAGGAAACAGCTGCTCTGATTACACCTAATTTCTATATGAGGAAACTGAGGCAGAGAGAGATTACCATGTTGCCCAGGACGGCAGAGTTTACAGCAGAGGGAATGGGGTCTGGTTCCCTGGCCCTGCTCTTTCTGTGGTGCCGATGGCCCCCGTCACGGCCCCAGCTATGTCAGGACCACAGCTGATATGGCTCCTGGTTCCCCCAAAAGACAAAGAGAACCCCAGTATATCCATCACTATAATCCCCAGGACATCAGGCTGGGCCCCAACACACAGTAGGTGCTCAATAAATGCGTCCTGAAAGAGATCAGCACCGAGTTACTTGGCCTTTAGAGCCTTCTTGCGAGTGTGCTTCGAAATGGGTCTCTAGCGTCCATGTCCTCCGTGCTCTGAGGGCCCCCCCCCCCACCCCTCCCTCTGCCGTCCTCCACCCCGGCCTCCTCACCCAGCCGCCTCTTCCCTGCCTCCCCAGGCTCCTCACTGGGCCTGTTTAAAACTCAACTCCTGTCGTGCGACCTCTGTCAGTCGGGAATTAATTCCCTGGGTTCCCACTGCATAAAAACTAAACTCTCTTTTTATGGTCTCTACATGCTTTGGCCTTTCCTTTTATTCAGGGCCCTCTGCACTTCTGGAGAATAAATAAATACGGTGTAACTTTTATCAGCCTTGATCATCCGCGGCCCTCGGGAGCCCCCAGCGAGGCAGAGGCCTCAGGAGGCTCTGGGTACCCCAGCCTCGCGCTCTCTGTCCTGGGCTCCCTGGGCCTTCACCAGCCAGGCAGGGCGCCCCCTGTGGTCCTCGGCTGTTCCTCCAGCCACAGGCTCCCCTGAGAAGCAGCCGTGGGTCCCGTCCTGCACCCCCCTACCCAAACTTTCTGGCCAACTTCTCAACTGTGGTGCAGAGAGTAGACACCAGAAGGGATGCCGAGGGCGTTTCCGTGGTGGCGCAGGCCCCAGCCAGCAGAGGCTGGGCCAGCGGGCACAGGGCCCGTGGCCACCCCGAGGACACAAGAGTCTCCCCCTCCCCGAGGCAGCCCCTGCACTACCTCCATCTCGCTTGCACCTGCTCCTGCCCCCAGGGGGACCTAGCCTCGATGCCGCCACCTGCCAGCTTGGGGCAGGGTCTGTAGTCCCTAACGACGTCTCCACCTGGAAAACAGGGAAGGCTCTGACTTCTTGGCTTCCGTGGAAAGATGGGTGAGGGTCCAATCAAATACCCCATTGGAAGGGGGTATGGCAACAGTCCATAAACCCCGTTTTGCAAAGAAACGTCCCTGCCAACCGCCGTCTGAATCCGGCTCTCCGTTCTCCCCGAGGGCCCCAATCTCCTGGTATGAGTTGGTCGCTAGGTGTGTGTTTGGCTCCGGGGACGTTGGCTTTGGGGACCAGGTACGTCACTTTCAAGCACGCCTTTGAGGGCCGCTCCACCCCCCCAGCCGGGCTCGGCAGAGAAACTCACCACTGGGCTGTTTCTCTATCTGGGGTTTGCCAAACGCTACCCCTCCGTCCCCCTCCCCCGCACCCTCCCTGGAAAAGTTCCTGGAGATGGGAGCAGCTAGATCCGAGATAATTGCTTAATTAGGGGAAGATTACCCAAATTTCAGCAGCCCCCGCAAGCGGCCTTCGTGCCACTCTGTGAAAGCCTCTGAAACCCAGCTTCCCCAGAAAGGAGACTGCGGCCCCTCAACACCCACCCCTCCTTCTCCAAGGACGTCACCGACGCAGTCTGGAGCCCTCTGTGCACATATTCACACTTCCACATGCCCATCCATCACCCCGGCACCTTCTCAGCTGGGCTCTGCTGGATGCTGACGGCCTTGTGGTTTTACCAAAGGCCAGGCGCCAACAGACTTTTCTGTATGGGGGCAGGTAGCGAATATCACAGGCGTCACCATGTGGCCACATGGCCTATGTTGCCCCGCCCGGGTCATGCCTTGGAGCGTCGAGCAGGCCCGGACAACACGTAAATGTACTGGCATGGCGATGTTCTAGCATCCCTTCATGGAAGCAGGTGGCAGGGCTGATCTGGCCCGTGGGCCAGTTTACTGACCTCCCGTGTAAGGCTGACTGCTGGGGACTTGGCTGGGGCAGCTGGCTTAGGTGGTTCTTGGTACAAGAGGGTGAGGAGCACTGACGGCAGCCCGGGGAGCTGTGGGCAATGCTGCACACAGCTGCTAGGCTGGCATCGTTGCAAATATGGGCTTTGGTGCTGGAGGGGGGGGGGGGTTGGAGGAGGGAAGCAGTCCCCGTCTCGAGTCCTTGCTCCGTGGTCTTGGGCCAGGCACTGAACTCCCTGAGCTTCCATTTTCTCATCTCCAAATTGATCATATTAATCATTCCTTCCTCTCAGGGTCATGGTGACAATAAATGGGGCCACGCGCGTGAAGCTGTGTTTGGCCGTAAGCGCTCAGCAGGTGTCGGCGTCCAGGAGTGGTAATAAAGTTTGGTCTTAGTGTTTTGGCCTTCGGGAGAGTCCCTGCAGGAAGGCTTTAGGATTTCTGTCCCTTCTTCCCCTTAGACTTGTCATTGTCTTATCTTCCCTTCTGATTGTGCTTCTGGGAGTCCACTGAGCTCTTCTGAAGTTTGAAGGAGAAGCGAGTGGAAAGCCACGGGATGGGCTCCACAGGTCTGCAGCGTCTCTGGCCTCCCAGCCACCGCAGGGAGAGGCATGAGCTGGCCTGGTGAGCTGACTGCCACCCCCTAAAAGCCACCCTGGCCTTACCGTCCCTCACAGCCTGCTGACCCCTGCGGTAGATGCTGTCCTACCGGGGAAAGACTGCCTCCCCGCCCCAGGCTGCCCACAGGGGGCACAGGAGAACAAGTTTTCCACCTGCTCCTTATGATGCCCGCTTCCTCCTGCACTCAGTTTATTCCCTCCCCTTTCCCTAGGCTGCCTTCCGCCCTCCAAGTCTCCTCTAGACAAGGACACCCAGCCAGAGACACTCCCCATTGGCCCTGCGACCCAAATAGCCTTCTCTACAGTCGTTGTGCGCTGGAGAGAAATCTCGGTCTGAAAGGAGCAGTGAGTGAGATGTCATTGGGCTTTAGAGCCCAGATGTCCCCGCTAATGTTGGTGCCAGGAGAGACAATGCGTGCCGTGTAAGGGCTGGCTGGGGCAGATGTGGCAACCCGGGGCCGCGGGGAGGGGACAAAACCCTAATGGCGGCAATGAGCAGGAGGGTCCCGGGGTCAGTTTGAAAGCAAGAACAATTCAGGACCTGGGATCCTGGGGGGGTGGGGAGGGGTGGGGACAAATGCCCAGGAATGATGGGTGCACAGGATGGAGACTTTGCAGGTGACCCCAGAGAAGCCACTACACTGCTCTGCACTTGGGATGTTTCTGGGAGAACGGTTTTAACCGGGAGCGCCAGAGCTGGGACTGAGATGGGCAGAGTCCCTGACACAGAGCAGTGTGCGTGCATATTACTGGCCAACATACACACCGACACCTGTCGGCCGGGGAGTCCACCTGGTGTGAGCTGAAGGACGTGTAAACTGTAAGTGGGTGTGGGGCGCCTGGGGGGCTCAGTCGGTTAAGTATCCGCCTCTTGATTTCAGCTCAGGTCATGATTACTTGGTATGTGAAATCGAGCCCCCACGTTGGGCTCTATGTTGACGGCACAGAACCTGCTTGGGATTCTCTCTCTCCCTCTCTCTCTCTGCCACGTTCTCTCTCTCTCTCAAATTAGATAAATGAATGAATGAATGAATGACCTGAACTGTAAGTGGTGCACAGTTCAGACACCAGCTTCCCTTCCATCACGGTAAACTATCTTGTGCACATTAAATGAACTGCTGAGGGGGGTCAGATGCAAGGAGATAGTGAAGGGGGAGGGAAGAAGAGTCAGATCCAGGGTCATGGCCTCGGCCACAGTGGGAGGAAGCACCAGGGAAGGGATGAAGACGTCTGTTTGGGTCTTCATAGCTGATAACTCATGGCCACGTCTTCGTGAGCTCTGCTCGCTCACCTCCTACCCCCTGCAGCCCCCTTGCCTCCCCCTGGGCTGCTCCAGAGTAGGTGAAAGCCTGTTGCTCTGCCCTGAACGGATTCTCCGCCTTTCCCGGAGGATGCGTCCCTCCTGTGGGTGGTCAGGCGAGCGCCCGGGCTTGGGGGCCTTGGGGCTTTGCAGCCGGGTCCCAGCAGGGCCGTGTCACCGGGGCTCTGGTCCCGGGTCAAGGCTGTCCATTTTGATGCTCTGAGGCCCCAGGCTGCAAATCAGATGCCAGCAACAGGGCGCCCTGACTGGGTTGGCACATCACCACAGCCAGCGAATCGATTTTCTCCACCTGTGGTGTTTCTAGGCCTGATCGGCTTGACTCGCTGTCCTCGCGTGCTCCTGACCTTGGAATTCAGACCTGTCTGCAGCTGCAGCCGTCTCCCACACCTGAGGCCTTAACTAAAGGCGGGGGAGCCCCAACATCTGGCTTCTGGCCTCGTTCCTGGGAATCTAAGCCTTGCCTCATCCCATCCCCGGTTTTCCTGCCCGGAACTTCTTTGCCTCTGTCGGTCCCTGCTGCTTCGGCAAATCCCAAGTCATATATGGCTTTTGCCCCTGCTCCCCACAGCTGGGCCCTGTGCCTCTCCTCCCTGCCCACATGAGGAGTCCCCCCGTCCCGTCCCCTCATCACTTTTCATTGTATTATCCTTTTTTAAAATGTTTTTATTTATTTTTGAGAGAGAGAGAGAGAGAGAGAGCAGGGGAAGAGCAGAGAGAGAGAGAGGGAGACACAGAATCTGAAGCAGGCTCCAGGCTCCGAACTGTCAGCACAGAGCCCGATGCGGGGCTTGAACCCACATACCGCGAGATCATGACCTGAGCTGAAGTCAGACGCTCAACCCAGTGAGCCACCCAGGCCCCCCTATTATCCTTTCTTTCCAGCTGGTCTCCTTGCGTCCAGCCCCTCCTCTCTGTGACCCAGCAGTTCTCAAAGGGTGGTTCTGGGACGAGCAGGATCAGAAGCACCCGGGAGTCCTTAGGCCTGCAAATTCTCCAGACCTGCTGAATGAGAGACCTGGGGGGAGGAGGGGGGCGGAGAGGGCAGCATTTCAACAAGCCCCCAGGCGATCCTGAGGCACTCAAGGCTGGGAACTGCTGTGTCCAGCACATCCTCCCTGTACCTTCCAGAACATTCTTTCTAAAACCCAGGCCAAGACCTCGCGTTCTCCGGCTCAGCAACAGCGGATGGCTCTCTCGTGCCTTCGGAATTAATTTTCAATTAACTTCTTAAGCACAGTGTTCCAGGCCCTTCACCATCTGGCCCCAACCCCTGTCTCCAGACATCCCTCCATCCCCGCTCTGGGCCCAGCCCTATGGCACCAGCTCCCCCCTTTGACAACTGAAGGCCCAGTCCAGATGCTGTCCCCTGTCCTTGTGAAGCACTGTCTACCCTCCTCGTCCTCCCGGGACACTTGGTCCCACCCGCGGTGCTCTGAGTGCCTGTACGTGCCTCTCTCCCGGCCATTGTTCTAACATAGCACGAATACCTGGGGACACATTGATCTTCCCCATCCGTGCACGGCGAGCTTCTGGAAGCAAGGATAAGGGTCTTCCTAAGCTGAGCACTGGGCTGGTTCAGAACACTTACCAATCCATACCTGCAGATGCCAGGATTGAATCTAACTCTTGCTGGGGTCTACCAGAGCCCTGCCCTCACCCCACCCCCCCCACCCCCCATCATCCTGCCATCCCACCCACCTGATCACCTTGTTCTAGCACCACCCTTCTGGACACTTAGGGCCTCCTAGGGTCTCTCTGATCCCTCCCGTACTCCTCTGGGTCCAACTGGGCCAAATCACTTCCAGCCGGGTCACTCTGCAGCCTGACTGTACATAAGGATTGAGGGAGGGTCCCTTCCTGGGGCACCAGGGGGCTGGTGCGAATCTTTCCCCACCACAGGGGTGGGGTGGGGGCTACAGCATTTCCTCGAGCACCTTTCCAATGATGCAGTCAATCCTGACAAACGAGAGCCATGGATACACCAACCAGCAGCTCACCCTCCTGTTACCTAAAATAGTGAGGTAGGGTTTGGGGTGGTAACTTATTTATTTATTTCATGTGTGCGCGTGTGTGTGTGTGTGTGTGTGTGTGTGTGTTTCTCCACCAGATTTACCATCCTAATTCCGTCTGTTTACAGCAATATTAAAATGTGTTTGCATCCCCTACATGCACGGCAACTGATAGAATGGCCGGGCAGTCCAGAGGCTGGGATAGGGGGGTGCCTGAAATACCTAAAAATTAAGCTTCGGCCTCAACCTGCAACATGGACGATCCCCAGGTAGGTAATCAAGACTTGTGGTCATTTTTTCAGTGGGGCCTTAGGAATCTACCTTCTAGGGGATATTTTCACCCGGTCGAGGAGCGCCTGGGAAATTACAGGGGTGCCTGGTTCTCTTTAGGACCCGGCCCATGTGCTCTGAGCCCCAAAGCCCGTCCCAAGAGTGCCACACTCAGGCAGTCCCACCCACCAAGGCCTCCTGGGTCCTTCAAACTCCCGATGTCCCCGACTCTCGGTGGCGAAGGGAGCGTGTGGTCCTCTGTGTGACCTCCTGCGGTCTGCCGATGAGACTTGAGGTGTGGTCAAGCCCACCCACCACACCCAGGACGACACCCGGGAAGAGAGCGAAGCTGGGTCCCTTCCTGTAGCCGCTCCGGGACCTCAGCCTCTGTGATGATGTGACACAGGCCAGCACGGTCTTCTCTCCCGGAATGTGGCACTCAGGTCGCCTAGCAACCTCAACATGCGGCCAGCCCGGCCAATCACCTGTGGCTGCCGACACCCACCTGCTTCCCCCGGGGTGGGGGGGGACAGAAGGCAGCCTGGAGACTAAAAGCCACCCCTGCCGGCTGCCCGCCGGCCACCTCTCCAGGCCACCCACCCTTTGGAAGGTCCCCAAGGAGGCAGGCAGAGTGACCAGTGTTTCTCACCTCACCCTCTGCTCCCTACCCAAGGCCCGTTCTGCGGCTTAATCGGTGACATTTAACATAAATAGTTTTCTATTCCCAGCTGACCTTTAATGGCTTTTATCATCAGCTGTGGTTCCTGGCAGCGATACAGGAGCAGCTGTCTCTTGCCTCAGTCTATTCCAACAGGACGCCCGAGGAGGTCCCACGGTTCTCGCCACGTGAAGCCAGGGTGGCCCCTGGAGATGTCTGCCCAGACCCGGGCCTGCCGCTCTCCGCCCGGAAATATCATTACGTGTTTCAATTAGAATTAGTGGGGAAGTCAGTTATTAAGTGGTTCGTTATTATGGTAATGGAGACACTCCACACGAGCTGGTGCAGGCCGCTTCGGAAGCCCTGAGGCTCGGTTGCAGGTGGAGCCGGGAAGAGATGGGAGGCGGGAGGCCCGAACGGGTGGGTGTCGCAGCCCCCGCCCTCTGCCTTCTGCACCCCTACTCCCCACCCCCAGGCACGGTCCCCAGGAGGTGGCGCGCACAAACCCTCCGGCTGAAATCACAAGTCCTATCCCCCAGCCGTTGTCAAGGCCGGTGCCCACCGCCACCAGACCCCTCCCGGTAGCTGTCCTCCTACTCTCAGATATGCGACCATCATGGAAAGGATTTTACAGGACTCCTCCTGAAGAGGCTAAGGTTTGGGCAAAGGTCCTGCTGATTCTGAGGGTGCCGAGGAGGGTGCCCAAAGACCACTAGGGTGGAGGATGGTGGAGCCCAGCTCTGGTCCATCCTGCCAGGTGAACTTGGGCACGTCACATGACCTCTGAGAGCCGCCGCCCTCCCTGTATGTTGGAAGTTTGGGTCTGGAGTTTCTGATGTGCCCGCAGGACGCGGCATTCCCTGATCGGGTGTGGAATAAACCGATGATCGTCGGTTGTGGAATAAACTTTGTCCCCACAAATTCATGTTGTCGCCCTACCCCCCAACATGATGGTATTTGGAGATGGGACCTTCGAGACGTAACTAGGTGAGATGAGGTCATGAGGGTCCAGCCCCCACGACGGGATTCGTGCCCTTCTGAGAAGAGATACGAGATCTCTCTCTGCGCCCCTCTTCCCCATGGCTGCACAAAGAAGAGGTCACGTGTGCACGCAGCGAGGGGGGGGGGCTGCCTGCAGACCAAGAGGAGAGGCCTCAGAATAAAACCCACCAGCCAGCACCCTGATCTGGGACTTCCAGCTCCCAGAACTGTGGGAAATTAACGCGTGTGGTCCAAGCCCCGTCCATGGTAACTTGTTACCTGAGCCTGAGCTGACAAAGGCAGGGTCCCTCCGGGGGAGAAATTCTCCACGTCAGGCGGGAGTGCACCAGATTCCCGAGGGGGGACCGGCCCTCCCCCTCCCACCGATGTCTGTCGGTCTTCTCTTCTGTCCGGTCCCACTTTCAGACATTGCTTCCCAGCCGTATCTTCCTCCCCCTGCCCCAGGCCACAGCGGGCTGCAGCCAATGGGCCGAGCTCAGAGTGTTCCTTATGGCCCTTACCAGCCCGTGACCGTGACCCGGAGACCAGCCCTGGGGCCACCGAACCTCGGTTTCCTTATCTGCTAACATCCGTGAGCACTGATAAGCCAGTGCAAGAGAAGCACTCCACACAGACTCGCAAGGCGTGAACGCTCAAGATCGGGTCATAACTGTTGCTGTTATTATTTTAAAGATCATCTCAGCGGGGGTGGGGAGAGACAAAGCCCACAGTGGCTCCCTTTTCCTTGAGATCTGATGGGTATTTGAACAGGAAGGAAAACAGGAGACCTGAGGGATCAGAACAAAGTGAAGAAGGCAGGAGGAAAAACTGGGAATGGAAGCAAAGGCTGAGAGGGAGAGATGGGGGAGACAGGGAGACAGAGACAGAGAGACAGGGAGACAGGGAGACAGAGGCAGAGAGCAGGGAGACAGGGAGAGAGATAGGGAGACAGATACAGAGAGACAGGGAGATAGGGAGAGAGACAGGGAGACAGAAGCAGAGAGCAGGGAGACAGGGAGACAGAGACAGAGAGACTGGGAGACA